TTCAACATATGATATCGTGAGACAAAGGATCAGAATTTGAGCTGTTACTGCCTTAGTTAGATCGCCTCTAACTCAATTCAACGTGGGTGTTCATGGCGTCTTGCTAGAGGCTAACCATGACTTGTAGATCGGGAATGGTTCTCGAGGCTGCTGCCACTGCGAATGGGGCTACAGGGGCATACACCATTAGGGACAGACTTACATGTGAAGTATCAGAAAGGAAGACTTGGATTTGACCGAACAAACGGTTTTGGATCAAATCAAGTGTCGAGAAATGGTCTCAGCCTTCTCACTCGGACTGAGTCAGTTCCCAGTCGAAGCCCAGAAAATATTTTTTGGGCTTGGCTGATGTTTTGACTCGACCGAGTCAAATACTGACTCGGTCCGAGTCAAATACTGACTCGGTCCGAGTGATGGGCTTGGGCTGATTCGTTCTGACTCGACCGAGTCAAATCTCGGCGAAAAGTTTTCTTTTAGCAAAGATTAGGGTTTCAGACTTAATAAAAAGGTTAAAGGATGTCGTCCCAACCAAGAGATAGTTATTCTGAACTCCTAGACAGACGTAGAACACAAGAGAAATCGTTCTTTTGAGGTTCTAGTTCCCGGGATTTGATCCCAAGTCTTGGAAACCCTATTTACTTCACATATACTAGCAGATCAGTTCCAAAAGCGTTTGGAATCCTTCCCGTCGGTGTGGATACGTGTAGAGGAACTGTACTTTCAGCTCTTGGTGATTAAAACAGGCCCTGGATCGATTGCTACTTTTAGATCTTCAGGAAAGAGGTAAGTATTTGATTCCTACGGTGATATACATGTTCTTTCGGGTTTTTGTGAGTTTTGTTGCGTGTGACGTTTGACTAGGTTTAGATTATCCTTCCGCTGCATGAAACCTAGTAACCAAACCCTAGATCGATAAGATCGTATGGTAGGAACCCGTACCATAGCGACGAAAACCCAACAGGGGGAAGGCCATAGAATTACCCAATCAAGAAGTCCTTCCACTCATTTGCGGCTTCTTGAATGGATTCTTCGGGGATGGCGACGAGAGGGACCCTCGAGATGTGCAAACCGGGAGAAACTGTACGCTTCAGCTCACGAATAGGGAGAGCAGGGAATAGATGCTTACTCCAGTTGATTGACTGGCGCTGGTTCGAGGGGGAGGCTGGCGGCTGGCCAGAGGCATTACCGACACCGACAACTGGGTTCAGAGAAGGGGAGGGAATAAGGGGGTACGCTTGGGTTGTTACTCTTAGCAATGGGGGCTGAAAGCAAGCGACCAAGGAAAGGTCTAAGATGAGAGAGAGAAAAAGAGGGGAGATTTAGGGATTTACGGTGATTTGTTGGTGGAGAACAACTAAATGAGCGCTGAGAGAGGAGGGGGGAGGGTCAGAAATTTCAAGGGAGAAAGGAGAAGAAGAGAGATGGGGGGAGGAAGGCTCCGGAAGGCCATGTAGCGGAAGATATGGCGGAGGAGTTACAGGGAGAGACCGATCGGGGAAGGGAGGGGGACCAAGGAGACCCGGAGTAGGGGGTTGAAGAAGATCTGAGATGGGGAAGCATTTTGAGGATGGGGACGACCAGCAGTAGCCGATCGTGGGGGTGAGGTGGGTAGGGTTCAGTCGTCGTGGGTGGAGGGGGAAATCACCTCTCGCCTCTCCTAAGATAATTATTAGATTTATATAATTAACAAAAAAAAATTGGTTGTTTGCCTAATGTTATACGTGAAATCACTATAATAAGACGAGGTTTTATCTACGAATACAAAAATGAGATACATACAATAAATATGAAGTGAAACTATGTAGTATTTTGATATATATATATATATATATATATTGTAGACGTAGAAACATAATTATTAGGGAAAACCTCAAAAAAATTATTGAATTTGGAGATAACAGATATATTAATATCGATTTTTTCAAAATTTTAAATTAAATATGAATTCGTTAATTTTGATATAAAAAATATTGAATTTGTAAATCTTGACAAAAAATTTCATCGACGTTAAACAATATTAAATCGTTTAACCGATGATCTGATGTGGCGGATGAGTCAAGTCTCGTCATCCGCGATAAAAATTTACTTAAAAAATAAAAATAATTAGAATTAAAAATAAAAAATAATTATAATGGCATTTTGGTAATTTCAAACAAATCCAGTGGCATTTCTGTAATTTGATCACCCACCTGATTCCTGAATCTCACCTGACAAATATCTCGCCTGTAAAACACGGTTGTGACCGTAATCGATCGAATACCCAACGTTCGAATAATTCTTTTGCGTTTTCTTGGCGAGGATATCTCGACTCAAGGATTGAGATTCTCTCGTCATCAAGATACTCATAACCTAAAATCTCTCTCACGGAATGGACAAAACCGCAAGTTGCCATCGTTGAAAATCGAAATTGAAATTGAAGATCAATGGTCAAAGAGGATGATAAGGTTTTTTATCTCATAAAAGGACAAGCAGTGAGGATTGAAGATTTAATTTAAGTTCATGAACCTCTCTTTTTGCAATTTGGTGAAACCAAATAGGCCCCACCCTCACACACATTTTCTTCCCTTGCAATTCCCAATTAGCGGCGCCGCTGTTACACCACCCTCTCTCCTTTCCTTCCTTTCAAAGCTCCCTCTCTCCCTCGTTACATTTATTTAATTTATTCCCCTATATATACACACACATGCACAATATTAAAAAAATGAATTTGAAAAACCAATTTTTTTGCAATCAAACACAAAGGGATCATTAGTCCCACCTCCAATACTTTGCCGTGCCCATACCACAGTAAACCCCCACCACTCCTCACACCCTCTCTCCTCTTCGTCTTTCTCTTTTATTATTATCATTACAATAACACTCACAACTTCCCTTGCATTTTTTTTTCACTTCTTCGTCTTCTCCATCCTCCAAAAAAAAAACAGAGAGAGAGATGAAAGGTGAATACTTAGATCACAAGACGCAAACCCACAAACCCAACAGCAGCATGAACATGTTCTCTAAACTCTCTCACCACCACAACCCTCTCTCCCCCCACTTCCACCTCTCCTCCGCCGCCGCCGCAGACTCTTCCTCCTCCGCCCCCTCCGCCGCTCCAACCACCGGGAAACCATCTTCCACCTCCGTCGTCGCCGCCGGGGATGGCTCCTCCATCGAGGTCGTCCGTCGTCCACGTGGAAGACCCCCCGGCTCCAAGAACAAGCCAAAGCCACCTGTCTTCGTCACCCGCGAGACCGATCCCCCCATGAGCCCTTACATCCTCGAGGTCCCTCCCGGAAACGACGTCGTCGAGGCCATCAACAGGTTCTGCCGTCGCAAGTCTCTCGGCGTCTGCGTCCTCTCCGGCTCCGGCTCCGTCGCTAACGTTACTCTCCGGCAACCGTCTCCGGCGGCTCCTGGATCCACTATCACTTTCCACGGCAAGTTCGACCTCCTCTCCATCTCTGCCACCTTCCTCCCTCCTCCACCGCGAACATCACTCTCCCCCTCCGCCGCCGTATCCGGCGTCTTCACCGTCTCCCTCGCCGGACCCCAGGGCCAGATCGTCGGCGGCTTCGTCGCCGGACCTCTCATCGCCGCCGCCACTGTCTACGTCGTCGCCGCGAGCTTCACCAACCCTTCTTACCACCGGCTTTCCTCCCCCCCCCCCCCC